TAATTCATAAAATATTTTTAAAAAACTTAGGTCATACCAACTGTGATATGTAGACACAACTAGCTCTGGTAAATAACAACTTACCTCATAAACCAACTACAGTACGTAAAATTCAAGCTCATAATTCACTCTGGTTCATAAAATAAATTAGCTCATTATCAACTGAGATATCTAGATAGCTTACAATTAGCTCTTAACTCTTAACTTAACTCTTAACCAACTACAGTATGTTAAGGTCAAGTGTGTAATTCACTCTCCATGCTAACTCTAGTACATATAAACATAGACAAAAACCATATTTGGTACATGCAAACATATAGTAGAAATAATTATAGTTTGTGCAAACCTTGCTCATAAGTTCCAGCACATGAAGAACTTGCTCAATTTACAGGTATATATGTTTGGTGCAGATCAATACAATAGCTTCATGTTGTGCACAAAACACACAAAATTTCGTCTTTTAACATACTAATCAGTTTTTATCCCACATATATCTTCAGTGAATAATTAATAAACCTTTCATATAGTAAACACAGAACACCAAACTTAATACATCAAGTTATTTTATCTCAATCACTCCGATTGATTCTGTCTCACACCATGATATGTTTAATAAATAACTTATGAATTATATCATAAACAAATTAGACAGAGTTTTCACCTCATGTGTTTTAAATCTTTTACAGGTGCAGTTTTTAGACAACTGTCTTTCATTGATATGTACCATACACAATAACATTGGAATGGTGAATAGACCACACCACTAATTTAAATAACCTGAGTAATATAAATAAATATGGGATCTACAAAACAAACAGAAAAATGTAAAATATCAATATAGAACAAAAACCTAGAAATAAGTTTAGTATACTAGCAAGATAAAATATGCTTATAAAAATATACTTAACTTCATTTTGTTTCCCTATTACAAGATCCTCCTTTTAGACAAAAACTTTTTTGTGTATTTCACGAATACACAACTTATTTTTTGTTTTTATAATGATCAACCTGAATACCAGCATGATAGATTTTCTCCACAGTGACTTTCATACAACAGATATAAATTTATTTCTTACATCCCCAAAAAGACTGGAAATACTAACAAGTGTCTATGGGTTTATAAATGTCGCATAAAAGATGAATTTTCTGAGGAGATGGAAAAGCTTTTACAGAAGAAAACTGTTTTAAAAGGATTAGTAATTAAATATTGCAAAAAAAAGGAATGCACTTAACAGTTCTCTAACTGAAAACTTACTCTTTTTCCACTAATAAAACATACCCACTGAGGTACAACTTTATAATCTGATTAAATTCCTCACTGATAAATAATTTACATTTCCTCTACATAATCATAAAAAATATTTTCTAAGTCCCAAATTTATTTGATAATTTATAAATAATTTATTTTATATAACGACATGAAAAAATTACTTCTCCATCACACATCACATTAATTTGCATCACTACAATACAAACACTAATTCAGTTCCACTTGTTACTTGAAAAAATATTAATTTACACTTAAATTCCATTTGCTTTGCAGTGGTTCAACAGTACAATCTAATCACACTTCAATTCCTTTTGTATTGTATCAATAGTACATCTATCTATCACACAGTAATTTTATTTGCTTTGCAACAATTTAACAATCGCATATAATCAAGATTTAATTCCATCACCTTTGCAATGGCCTAGCAATATAAGATAATCTTACCTCACTTCAATTCCATTGTGTTTGGTAACAAAGATTAATCATACTCCAATTTCTTTTGCTAATACACATGTAGTATGTATTATGTACTTTATATTAATTCATATGAACAATAATTTTTCAGTTAAATTCATCCTACTTTAACATAAAATACTTTACCAGCAAAACACATACTTGCTTTTGCCTAAAAAGTCGATGCTATCAGTTATCCAATTCCAAAAAATCTTAAACCTGAGTGTGAGTACAATAACTCATACCAAATTAACATTCAGTGTATCCTTAAAAATTCAAGCAAATAACAAAATTACCCTTCAATGTTAATTTTTGTATGAAGTGAGCCAAGAAGTTGAACGACATTTTTATACTGGAAAGTAAACCATAACAAACAGATCTGATTGTCCCACCTCAAAATCTATGTTTGACACATATCCTATGGAAATAACTAGTTTGTACATCTAAAAAGCTTTTATATCTCTTCATTTATGTAAAATAATTTTTTTATGTACTGAATATTTATACTCAGTACATTAAACTTCAGATCATTATACATGACATGTTAAAGTCTGAAAAAATACATAAAATAATTCATGTTCAATATTGGATAATATCACAGATTAATTATTTAGACATTTATTCACTTGAAAAAAAATTTTCAAATCTCTTTTAGTACCAACATAACATTAATGAGTGAAATCCATTATAGATATTTTATTAAAAGATAATTAAACAAATATATATTACTAAAATAATTTCTGAAATTACCTTTTGGTTGATATTCTTTCGTCACAAACTACAATTATGTATTGTTAAACATGTTAGAGTACCAAAAGTTTAATTTTTTAAACACTACACTGTGAAAACAGGTATATATATAAGGTAAAGATAAGACAGACATCTAAAACTCCCAATGTTTTTACCCTTTTATAAGACAACTGTTCATTAGACCTCAGATCAGAATGGAACAAAGGTACTTTAGAAAATGTTCAAGCACACATATTCCACATACACAAAGGTATTAGAAGTAACAAATGGGGAATTGGAATACTCAATCTGAATGGCACATTATATACACATGGGCTAAATGCCTAAGTCAGAGGGAAGAAACCTCTACAGTTCAAGTTTATCCATCCTTAATTTTGAACTACTCATCAGAGGGAGGACAGCCAACTAGCAGCACCTGGCACCACAGGAGCTCTGTCCAGCATCTGAACCAGAATAACATGATTCGCCGTCACTTAACTCGGCGTGACCACAACTGAGAGTACAGAGTATGTTCAAGCAGCATCACAACTCGAACCTTGTGCCATATAAACCACAGCCAAACACACTAACCACTAGGTCACACCTTGCCCAACAAATGAGAAATATCAGACAATAAATACATTGTTAAATAATGATTATACTGAAAAAATTAAAGACCATATGCGGATTAAAATTTGCATCTTAGGAATATGTTTACATTATAAGATTTTATGACTTTGTTCCATTTAAATATTTCATTTCTGGAAACCTTTATTTCCTGTCTTGAGGCTTTCAATGAGTAGAACAAGTAAAAGCTTGCAGATTAAGTAAAAAAAGTTCATGTGGAGAAAAATCTCAAAAGATCTTTACTGTAAGCTGAACTAACACTACCTTTTTTTTGTATTAAGTACTTGTGCTAACAAAATCAAAATCAAGATCAAACATGTAGTTTTTATTCGAAAACAAATACTTCTTTGACAGAACTACAATAAAACTTTTTGTGTGGCATCCCCCTCATGAAATGAGCAGATTTCATCACACTTCCACCTTTAGCTTGCAAGTTATTATTAACAAAATCAGAGGCACACTGTTGTCAGAAATTAGTATTATTTTATCGAAAATAGGGTGAAATTAGAAATGCATTCATAGAGTGCAACCCCACCCCACAATGTTTTGAATTTTTTCAGTAATCAACCTAAAATATACTTTAAACCATTTCTTACCCTCAGTGCCAAGATTCACTATATATCTTTACATTTTCTTGAGTCTTGACTGTTTTTGAAAAACACCATTTGCTACTATTATATTGAAAGTGATTAACCTTCAGTGCAACTTTGACCTATGGCCTACTGTCACAAAAAGCTAATTAATGAAGCTAATGAAAACTTTAAGTTATACAGTTCCTACATACAAAAGTGAAAAAAAAAACATCCTATCACTGAATAAGGGTAAAAATTATATATAAAATTTTAAATATGATAATTAACAATAAATTTGATTTCCTTTGGGTTTGGACAAAAATTCAAAATTTATAACATATATTTCTACATTTTTTCCCCTAATTATTAAGTTATTCACAAGTAATCCATCAGTAACAATAAAAATGTAATAATGTTATTTGATGATCAACATTTGTTTCTTTGTTTTGGTTATTCTGTGCTTGCCATCCTTAATTTTGGACTGACAGACTAGAGAGAAAGCAGTTAGTTTGGACTACTTTAATCAAGTAGTAGGATTTGATTTTGACACTAATAATGCATCCATGGCCCCAAAATGCAGTGTTATTTTGCAGCAATGAGACACAAACCATGAAATATTAGATTCACAGTCCAAGACACTCACCACAAGGTCACATCTGGCACACTTATGTTCAATGCTTAAATATTTAATTTTTATGTGCTCTTGGCTCACACATACACTACATAATGTAAATATAAATGAATATTAATATAAAATGAAAAATATAATAGCAGAGCCAGCCCTCGGGGTGGGCAACACGTGTGCCCCTACACATGGCACCCCCTCCCCCAAAGGGTACCAAAATTGACATTGCACTCAACAGTTCTTGTCAATTTTGCAGGGGCAGGGACATCAAATACAAATTTCTCACAGGCCACAATTCTGCCTGGTGCCACCTCTGGTTGATAGTTAAAATAAATAATACAAGTAAGAAAAAAAATTTACATTTATAATACAATTTGTTTTGCTTATTACAAAATAGTACAAGCATAAATCAATATACAACCATTATTTTGATAGGGCATTTGTCCTCCTTAATAATTAATCAAAATATATTCATGTAACCATAGAACACAACTCTTACTACAACTACATAAGCTCTGTTATCTTTCTAAATTGAGATCATATGAATAACATTTCTTGCCATATTTGATGATATGGCAATCATGTTATACCCACTGCAACTAAATAAGCACAAACCAACAGCTAAGTGCTATTCATAGATCTAATAAAAAATTACTCTTTCTTAAACTTAAAATAATAGAACATTTGCAAATATGTGGTATATAAACAGATGTGTTAAAAGAAATGAAAATAAACTACACAAATGCTATTATATTCTGCATCAAAATGTAAATAAACAGTGTTATATAAGAGGATATACACCATAAAATAAAAATGCAACTTGCATGGAACAACTAATAACATGTAGCTTCTTTAATAGCATTCTTTCTGGATTTGTTTTCTCAGCTACTTTTAAAAACAAATCTTGTCTAAATTAACTTGATAATATTAAACAACAATTTTTGAATGAATTCAGTTATCAAGTCTTTGAAAAAGCATTAATTTCAATTAAGTTGTAAGGGGAGCTCCTTGATAGCTAAGCCTATTTAACAGGTAACTAATTGAAAAGTTCACAATGATTTCAACATTTAATGATGAGCTCAGTTTCACATAAATTTAAAACAAGGTACAACCCCAATAAAAAAAAATGTCAAAAAGTGGATATTTTTCCCACTTTAATCCATTCACAATAATGATTAACACTTTCCATTCAAGAACAATCTTATCTTTTTATATTAAAAGATTGTAGATAAAAGATAAAAATACACATTTCATTTTTTATGGCTGTATGGGATTAAACATTTCACATTCAAGCATAATACAAAGACTAATGGCAGTAAAATTACAATACAAATATATCTGGGCTGTTGCTTCAGGATCAAATTCACAATAAATAACTCTGGTGATATAGGACTTACAAACCTTACTATAATAACAAAGATCTCTTTCCCAGCACTGCCGAGAATAAGAGAGAGAGCTGCCTTCTTCATGATTGTGCCTTAAAATGGCTTCATCAAAGAGATGTCATGGGGATGTCCTAGAATGTTTAAAACGTTGTAGTTGTATCAGAATCTGATATACTCACTTTCATCATAACAGATACTGATGATAAATAGATGGATTTAATAAATGATTTAAATTGCAATGAAATCAATTATACCATAAAATATATTTAAATAAACAAAGAGTAAAACTATATGTCATTTACCTTCACAGTTGGCTTTGCTTCAGTACTTAGAAAATCAGTACAAAAATGAAACTACCAGGATCATAACTTTTTATAATTCGACATAATTTTTATAAAATTATTTAAACTCTCATATATATATATATATTCTTATGATAAAAATATAGCAAAAAAAATGCATATCAATCTAATGAGGTCAAACCAATACAGAGATACAGTACAGAACTAAGACAAGAATATACTTAACAGACATAATGTTTTGTAATTTCTTATCAACTAAATTATGTTGGTACATTGCATTGCTTTTTCCTCAAGTTTGGATGACTTATTGAAGCAACAAAATATCTAATTAATGACATATTTTTCTCACATAATAATTAAAATAATATATATACATGCAATTATTTATAAATATCACACAATTTTTATTAATTAAACATCAAAAAGAAGTAACAAGTCCCATCTCCTTTAATACCTTCTTTTTAGACTTTAGACAACAAGGTCAGACATTCATACATACAGTTGAATAAAACTGAGATAAAACTACACGGTGTAGAGAAAGCAAAATTATCTTTAGTGAGAAAGGTATTTGCAGATGTATGACTCAAGCAGCAGTATGGATGGATTGTCTATCAGATTTAATCATTACTTGCAAGCTCCACATACGACAGATATGACTGCTCAAGCCTACAACACCTCACATTTTAAAACCACCTTTCAAAATAAGCAGCACATAATGGGAAATAGACTAAACTGAAAAATATATTTAATATAGAATTTAGATTATTAATTAGTATTTGAATATATAGCTTTTTACAAATAAAAGAATAAACTGCATCCTACCTAAAATCATTATGCAAAACTCTGTTTATATTTAGCTAATATTATTAGAATAACCCAAGAATTTAACTTTTATCATCCCCTCCCCTAAAACAAAAAAGAATTTCACAAAAATTGATCAATATGAAAAATAAAAATGCCAACTATGTTAACACTAAAATTGTAGGAACACACAATAACTACATTTAGTTTTCTGATGTCATTTTTAACATACTGAAAGCTTCAATTCTTGCAATTTATCACTTCTGTTGTAAGACTTCTATTGCTTGATACATAACTGCAATGTTTCTTCTAGCTGTGTGTGGTTCTGAACAGTGAATACAACACCTTAATAAAAGTGTAAAATCAAAATGAAAAATCAATTGAGGAATAAAAGGTAAACCAAAAAACATGACGGAAAAACTTCTTCCTTAAAAGTAAACAGTAACTTTTTATTCCAAGATTATGTATAACTTCATATTCTATACAGTAAATAAATATTTTTTCTTTCAAGTTCAGTCTAGCGTACCTGGTCTTGTTTATTGGGATCAAACTCAATATGTTTGACTCTTTCAATCTCAGAAATTTCCTCCAAGATATCCATCTCTACTCCGAGTTCAACTTCTCGTCGTTGGCCTGTTGGGTCAGGAAAAAGAAAAACCGTGTCTGTATGCTTGGAGCTTCCAGTGGATGTGCTTGCTGTCTCTGTTCCAGTATCTAAAGGACTAACACTAGATGCAGCAGGGTTGCGAGCTGAACTGCTTGAGCCATATCCACTTTCTGGGCTACTTTCTGGACATTTCAGGGTGGTTCTTGTTCCCAGGGTAGGAATACGACTAGCTGCTTTATCCCAAGTTATTCCACTAACATTGGAAATGTAGCCACTCTCAAAATCACCAGCAATTCTGCAATGAGAGGTTGTTCCATCCTTTACAGTAGAACCTCCAGTGGTTGGGGATCTTAAAAACTGATTGGGGTTGCCTGTCACCATACACAGAGCATCAGCTATGATACGAGTAGAAGTCACATCAGCAAATGTCCGCATGTCCATTACCTGCTCCTTGGTTACTGAGCAAAAAAAAAAAACATAATAATATATAAGTAAAGTAAAATTACTTTTTTACTTTTTT